ACCCTGGGCCTCACCCACGGGGGGCGGGGGGCGGGGGCCGAGCGTCTTCGTGCTTTCACATTCTTGTATCTCTGTGTCTTTGTGGGTTTGCAAGCCCCCTTGAGTCAGCATCTGCTCAGCCTTTCCAACAGCCCCGGAGGTTTGCCTTTGAAAAGCGGCCCTTGTCCACTTGGAAACTCGGGCACCCACCCACTCACCTGCCCACCCGTTCATTCGCTAGGGAGACACGGCCAGGTGCCGGCCCGCGGGCGCGTGCACAGGGTGAGGCAAGAGGAGGTTTACGGTTGTGAGTCTGAGAAACACGGAGTCCATTCTCATATTATTGTTGTCTTATTATCGTAAGACTTACTGTCTTACTAATCGTTGTATCATTTCCCAAAAGCAGCTGCCAGCCTGCTTTGGCCCACCCTGCATGTTCCCCTCTGCTGCCCCTGAGTCTCTTTCAGGACGGCACCTGAACGGCCAGGCTGATGGTCCCCGCCGCCGCCCGGGGAAGGTGTGGCCTTACGCGCCCTCCCCAGACTCTGCTCGCTTTGAAACGCTCTTCTCTCCACCGCCTGGTTCCGGGGCCAAGGGCAAACAGTCCCCGAGGCACATGGCCAGACGTCCGGGCTTTCTTTATTCTACAGAGTACTTTTTTAGACTTTCCCCTGCAGGACACGCGTGGCGCTGGGCCAGGCCTCCCACGAAGCAGATGGCAAAAGGGAACTAAAATGTGCAGGGATTTTGTTAGGGGAAACACCAGGGAGAAACCAGGAGAGACAGGGAGACCTTGATGCAGGTCTGACCCCACGTGAAGGGAGAGGCCAGGGAGGTTGCGTGTGGGTGTCCGAGACCACCGTGCAGCCTCTGGAAGGTTCTATAAAGCCCCGAGGAGGTCCTCCAGCCGAAATCAGCCGTTAGGGGAGTGCTGGGTCTCGCAGACACCAGGTGTACCTGGAAGCCCCTGCCTCGTTCAGCCTTTGGCTGGAGTTGCCCGCGAGAGGCGTGGCCTCCGAGCGAACACGCCCACGATGGCCTGCAGAGTGCCGCGCAGGCCCTGTCCATCACGGCGCTGGGCTTGGAAGCCTGGGGGGCACATTCTCACGGCCACCCCATATTCGTTCACGGGGAGGGAGCGGGGACCGACCCTTCCTCTGTGCTCTGGAGGCTTCTCCGGTGACTTCAGTGAGCAAGGAGGAGTGTGGCGTGTGCCCTCTGTGTGTGCATCTGTGCGTACGAGTGCATCTCTGTTTGTGCGTGCATGCTATGTGTGTGCGCCTGTGTGCATCTGTGAGAGTGTGCCTGTGCGTGTGTGCGCGTGTGCAGGGACCCCACAGTCCCGGCCACCACGTCCTCACGGGAGCCCGACTCGCACGCAGGCCCTCACGCCTCTCTGTCGCCCCTTGCAGACCATCCTGGTGGGCGACAGCGGCGTGGGGAAGACGTCTCTGCTGGTTCAGTTCGACCAGGGCAAGTTCCTCCCCGGCTCCTTCTCGGCCACCGTGGGCATCGGATTCACAGTAAGTGCCCCTGGCCTCCGGGCCCCGGGCGGCCTCTGCCAGGGTCCTGGCAGGAAACAAACTCACACACCGGATCGTTCAAGGGGGGTTCATGAGAAGACCGTCTACCACGGTGTGAGCCAGGTGTCGGAAAGTGGGGAGGCATGGCGCCGTGCTGGGCGGCAGCTAGGGCTTCCGCCTCACCCCAGCCTAAAAGAGGTGCGAGGAGACAGCTGTCACAGACCCAGGGGCAGAGAGGGCGGTGTGGGGTGTGAGCGGGCTGGGCTGGCGGCGGGAGCGGTGACTGTAGTCACAGAGGAACAAGGAAAGCAGCCACGCCTACACACCCACCACCACACTGCCCTCCTTTTGCTCCCCCCCGCCCTAGGGGGCTCCCCTCTGGCCACACGCCCCAGAAGCCGGAGAGCAAGGGAGTGTGTTGGCAGGGGTTATTCCGGTCCACGGTCCACCTTCCAGAGCAATAAGAACCTGGGGAGGCAACGGAATGGCTTAAAATTTTAAAAACAATGCAATCAGCACTGTGGTCCTAGGGTGCTGGCTGGTTGAAGGTGAAAGTTTCATTTTTAGCACTTGGTTTCTCCCTGCACCCAGAACAGGGGCGAGGGGGCAGCTCAGATTAGGGAAGTACTCCAAACCCACAGCCGCTTGTGGTCCAGGAAGGCCTCCCTCCGCCCCACGAGTCTCTCTCCCCTCTCCCCACGACTGCCAGCTGCTCTCAGTGACCCTGTCCCAGGAGCCTCTGGAGAGGGTGTGGCTCTGCTCCTGGACTAGTCTCAGCAGCGGCAGGGCCCTTCCTTGGGGTCTCCAGAATCCTGGGGAAGAGTGAAAGCCATTCCTTGGGCAGCCTCAGTGTTTGAGAGGTCAGCTTCTGGGACCAAGCAGGGCACGGGCCCGAGAGGCCACACCTGGGACTGGGACACAGTGGGGTCACGTTTGCAGAACGAGAGAAGGGAACCCCAGACATGGAGCTTGCCCAGTGGGTCACAGACAGGAAGTCAAGGGCCCAGGGTGGACAGGACTTCGAAGTGAAACGGAAATGAGAGCCCAGCCAGGGTGTGGTGCCTGGAGTCCACCAGGGCCTGGGCTCACTCTCCGGCCACTGGGGGCCGCTGGGCTCTGGAGCTCGGGGCTGCGTCCCAGGGGAGCGAGGCTGCCCTGACGGCCCCGAGGCCTCCCGGGACACGAGCCAGCATGTCTGGTGCCTGGCATCCCCCACCAGGGCCCCTGCCCAGGCTGCTCCTCACAGTCCCATTCAAGTCACCTGGCCCACTCCACACCCAACGTCCTGCCTTGGGACTCGGCGGGGGTGGGGGGGGGGGCGGAGTCAGAGTGGAGGTGGGTGTGGTCATGGGCGCACAGCCTGGATTCGCTGCACAGGTGCACAGGGTGGGACCTCCATGTGTCGCCAGCAGCCTGGCAGGGAAGGTGAGGCCCCTCGCCCGCCTGTGGGAAGGAGGAATGTGTGCGGTGAGAGCCGGAAACAGCCTGTGATGGGGCAGGCCGGGCTCTCCCTCTCTCCCGGGGCTGGCCCTTCTAGAGCCTCCCTGTCTCCTTGGCACCAGTCAGCTCCGGGAAGCTTTGATTCACTCAGACAGACCCGTGGGCAGCCTACACGGGGGAGAGGCTGAGGGTCCGACCCAGGGGACAGCATGGGGACACCTGGGTCAGGTGAACGGCCTGGGAGCACAAACAGACAAACATACCCTGCTCCTCGGCTGGGACGCAACCCCAGGGGGCCCCATGTGCTGGTGGCGGGGCGCAGCAAGAGCAGCTCGTGGTCGGAGCCACACTGAGGACACGTGGCCGACCCTGGGCCTACCACACACACAAAGAGGTTTGTAGCCGTTGCTAAGGCCCTCCACTCCTTTCCTTCCCAGAGAAAGCTCTCTTTCCAACCCTCTGCTCAGAGCAGCCAGCTCTGCGCACCGCAGCGTAAGTCTCCTGTGGCGGGCTGAGCAAAGGGGCCGGAGGACACTGGGGTCTCCTTCAAATATCAGTGGTCTGGGAGGGGTCCCCGGAGAGCCAGGCTCCAAGACACTGGCTTGTCCATCTGCCATTTGCACGGACATCTCAAGGACTGCTTATAGCCGGCAATTCGCACGTGGCTCGTGGTTGGCCCGTGGCTGGCACTGGCTGTGGCCTGAATTCCTGCAGGAGGGTCCCTGAGGCACAGGGGCCTCTGACACTCCCACGGGCCCAGCTCATATGGCTGAGAGCAGCCCGGGCAGTAGCAGAAGGACGCAGGCCTGGGACTTCTGCTTTAAAGAAGACAGGGGGGACAGGTGACTACTAGGGGGCCCTGGAGCCAGACCCCAGGGCCTCCGGAGCAGCCCTCGGCCCAGAAACCACCAGGCCTGTGGCCCTCTGGAAGTGGCACCTGCCCAGGGCCTGTGTGGACACCTCCCAAATCAAGGCCTCCCCCAGCTCCTCTGTTTCCAGCCCCATCAAGCTGGCTGGCAGGTGCTGGCATCAGTGGGGTCCACGCAGTAGTCTTTCTAGCCAGCCCGGTTCGGGTCCTCCTTGCTACTTCTTGCCTCGGCATTCCCCACCCTCCCCAGCCTTGCCCAAATACCACTGCAGAGTTCACCCCCCGAAAGGTGCCCTCTGCTCACGCCCCGCCCCACCATGCCTCCAGGGCTCCCTGCCGGCTTCCGAATGAAGTCTGAATCCGTGGCCTACGCCGCTTCTCCTCTCCCACACACAGCTCCTCCTTGGCGGAGCCCCCCCCCCCACGCCCTGATGGGGCTCTGGCCGGCCCACCTCCAGGAAATAACCCCAGCTGGTGCCAAAAATCCCGGGGCCGGACACAGGTGACCTCCCATCACCCGTCAGCCACACCCACCTCTTGCCCTTCACCCCAGCACCTAAGTAGAGGTGCAGGTGCCCCTCCCCTCTTTACACCCCTCAAACAGTTCCTCTATACTGCGCCCACCCTGCGCGGTGTCCTGGTAAGCTCAAGGGCTTGTGTAGAACGTTGGGCCAGGTGTAACTGAAGGGCTGACCCGGGGCCACGGAGCCCCCGGCCTCTCTCTGCTGTGGGCAACCCAGGACACGCTGCTACCCTCCGTCACCAGGAGCTGCAGGGTTCCTGGGGTGTCCTGGAGACTGTTCTAAAGGATTCACAACGTCAGAATTCATTCGGTATCGAGTGTTGAAGGCTTACTCGTTGCCAAAGGCAGAGGGTCGCCCCTACGACACGGCCAGCCCTGCCTTCAGGAGCGCCTAGATCAGTAGGGTTGGGCGGGGAAGGCTGTCCCATGGTGGAACATTCTGGACGCAGTCAACAGGTCAGGGAGAAATGAGAGGTGACCTGCACTGGAGGGTCAAAGTCGGAGCACCAGCCAGCCAGCCGGGGGCCATGCGCTGCAAGGCAAATATCAGTCGGTAAATAAAATTATATTTACATGTGCTCGGGCTGGGCCGCAGTAATAAAAGCGATACTACCTGGGCGCTTTCCTCGGAATGTACACTTTCTCTCCGACGCGGCGCTGCGCTGGGCAGGGCCCTGGCTGCCTCTCCCAGACCCCACCCCCGGGGCCACCTGTTGACCGCCAGCTGGCTGGGCTCGGGCTCCGCCTGCTGGGCGCGCTGCGCAGCGACAGCGGAAACCCTGGCCCGGGGGCTCGGGTCCCAAAGATGCCAGACCTTCCGCAGCGGCGGGGTCTCCAGGGAGCGCTGCCTGTGGGAACGTAACCTAAGGATGGATTTGGCCCACGCCCTCAGAGCAGGAAGCCGGGTCAGTGTCGCTAAGGGGGCCCGCCTGCCCCACGGGCGCTGACCTTGTGGTCCTGCGCGCCCTGGCAGGACAGCCGGTTCCCGCCGGCGTCGGTGTCTGTGGGGTGGCAGGACAGAGGGAGGAGCCTGTCGGGGTCTAGGCCCGGGCGGTGGAGGATAGAAGGAGTGGGTGGAGCTAAGGCGGAGCTGTTGCTGCGCTGTCCCTCGCGCGCCACCGGCCCCGGCTCACCTCGTCCAGAGACATGACGGGCAAGCCTGGTGCCGCCGCCGCCTCCCAGGATGGCGAGGTCCCCAAGCTCTCCCTGCCCTGCAGCCCGAGCTACGATCTCACGCGCAAGGTGGGTGGGCACTGCGTTCAGCGCTGGGGACTCCTGTGCCGGCTCTGAGAGCCATCCCTCCCCTGCGCCCTTTGGCCTGAGACCCTGGGGCTCCCGGGACGAAGCGCTTTTCTGGCTCTGCCTGAGTTGCGCTCTGTTCTTCCCCCAGGCAGCCAAGTGTCCCAGAGTAGAAAGGGGAGGTCGACTCGCAGCCCCCTAGGCCCATCCCAGCCTCTTGGGATCCGGGCTGGCGCTTCCCCGGGCTGGGAGAGGAAGCTGGGAAGTGACTCCCCAACCCAATTTTCTTGTGCCACACTCTGGCTAGTATGAGTCCCCCCGGGGGACACCGTGCTTCTCCATAAGGGTGAACTCTCCTGGTGGCAGGGCCCCGAGGGGCTAGGAAACAGGGATGCTTGGACACCTGGACGCCCAGAGAGGACACCCCCTGGTGGTGGAGCAGCTTGCGGTTAATGCGCTTTTCCCAGCTAGGCGCTCCGCTGAGACTTGACACCCTCCCGTTTCTTCCTTAGACCCGAAACTCTTCAGGTGCTTACCCCCCCCCCGCCCCGGCCAACCACAAGTCCTTCCGCTTCCCTTTCCACGCCTGCCTCGCCCCTTCTTCCAGGAGGAGGTTGCTAACCAGAACAGAGGCCCACCTGGGAATTTTTAGAACCTGAGAAAGACCCCAATAGTCAGTCACAAGTCGCCCCCCCCCCCGCTCCTGGGAGAGTGTAAGTCCGCTCTCTGGGGCGCAGTCCCTCCGCAGGGTGACCCCGTGCAGAAGCAGGTGAGGGTGGCAGTGGACACTGGTGTGTCCCCTCCCTCCGTGACCTCGGAGCCCACAGACGCCAGGAACTCTGAAAGAGGTGCCGAGGGAAGCCCACGCTTCCACGCTTCTTCTAGGCCTGCTGCTGGTTGTGCGAGGAGGCCGCCCTGTCTCGTGCAGCTCGGCCTGGAAAGAGACCTGCCTCTTTCTGGGCCTTGGTTTCCTCTGCACACACAGGGGATCCATCTAGCTAGGAGCCCGGGGCCTCCGCCCACACTGTTTCAGGGGAAACCACTCTGCAAGTCACCGCCCAGAGGGCCCAGAGCCGTTGAGATAGGAGCCCCGTGTGGGCTCTCAACAGGAAATGGGCCCCCCTGCCTTCGCCCTCGGTGGGAGGGAAGCTGCTGAGGGCCGGCCCCCGGGCTGGTGGGGACGGCCTGACCGACCGACCGACCGCCAGCCAGACCAGGCAGCCGAGCTGTTTGCTTAGGAGGTGGCAAGGCCGGGCAGCGGTTTGTGTTCAGTGGCTTTGCCCGCCTCGGTGGGCGGCTGACACCGTGCGCTCGGGGCAGCTGTGCCCTGTGACGTGCACAGGTGCTCACCCTGCTCACCTCCGTGCTGGGGGCTGGGGCCCAGGAGCCAGGGGGCAGCGCAGGCTCCAGAGGGCACCCCCCCCCCACAGCCCACAGCATCTGTGGAGAACTGGCCCCTGGCCTCCACCGGCCTGCGAGCCCCCGGCCTGCCCCAGGAGCCCGAGCCAGGACAGGCTGGGAAGAGCCCGGTGGGAGCTCTTGGGCTGCACTAGAAGAGACGGGGCTACGGGCAGGTAGGACACCCCTGGGCCACTCCTGTGAAGGCTTATGGCTCCTGCTGGTGGTTGGTCCTAGCCATTAACAGACTCCAGAAAGGCCTCAAAGAAACTACCCTTCCTTCCTCTCGGCCCCTGTGGAAACCATGCCACGGAAGGCCAAGGACGCTTCCCAAGGTCCCCCCATAAGCCGTGTGCAAGCCGGGAGCCCGGCCTTCACTCTCACCTTTTGCTCAGCACTCCTTCCTCTCCAGGGCCGCTAGCTGAGCCCAGCACCCCACGTGCACAGCAGGAGAGCCGTGGTCAAGGTCAGAGCCTCAGGAATAACCCAGACCTTGTCCCTGCTCAACCCACTAAGGATCTGGCTGGCCAGCGGGGAGAAGTCCAGCATTAGGTCCAGACCTCTGTTCTCCAGTGTGGAGGAATACTTGGACAGAGGGCTCCTTCCCCCACCCCCGCCAGCCACGCTCCTTCCCCAGAGAAGGGGAGCAGAGACTGGCCGAGTGAAAAGGGGGCGCGACACACCCCACCGCCACACACTCCCCACCCCACGGGGACCCAGCAGTGCCAACTTGCGGCCGCTTGTCCCCCTCGGGAGGTTTCTGCTGCAGGAACTTCAGACTAAGTGTCCCCCCCAGCTCAGTATACATGCGAACCTCCCCTAGGCCGTGCAACCTCACTATACATGTCAAACGTCATCAGAAACTTCCAAAGAAATGCCGTGGCCAAAAAAAAGAACCCAAACAACAGTCACTGGGGCACAAGCCTCTGTAAACAGCAGTGCCCCGCCCCCATCCGCTCCTTGGGTAAGAATCCCGTCCCAGGCCCAGCGTTAACACCCCGGGCAGCACAGCCCCGCCACCCACGCGCGCAGGCACGGCCGAAGCACGTGCAGTGGGAAGGAGCCTGGGCGTGCTGTGGCAGGGACCCAGGTGTCCGAGACGAGTGGGGTGGTTCTCCAGGGCCGCTGAGCACCTGCTGGTGCCGAGGTCTCCACTCCAGCTTCCAGGAAATCGCGTGAGGACAGGAGGGTCCGAGGGAGAACACTGCGAGGCGGGAGAGGCAGAGCGAAGGCAGCAGCAGGCTTTCCAGAAGCAGGGGGCCCCCTGGCTCTCGCAGCATCCTCCCCTCGCCCTCTGCCCAATTTTCCAGGGGTCTCTCTCCCTGGAAGCCCAGAAACGCATCCAAGTCCCCATTAACTGCCTCTGCCCCCATCTCCTAGGTGATGCTTCTGGGAGACTCGGGCGTCGGGAAAACCTGTTTCCTGATCCAATTCAAAGACGGGGCCTTCCTGTCCGGGACCTTCCTAGCCACCGTCGGCATAGACTTCAGGGTGAGGTGGCTGCAGGCTCTGCAGGCTCCCAGCAGTGAGCCAGGGGCACAGCTCCGGCACTGGCACCGGGGCGCTGCCCTCTCCTTGCCGGCCCTGACTCTGCAGGACAGCGGTGGCCCGCTGCCCGGGTGGCACCAGGGCTGCTCCCCAGGGAGCGCCGAGGTGGCCAGGGTTGAGGAGTCTGAGCTTGATGGGCTCCTGGCCCCACTGCAGAACATGAAAAATGAGAGACTGAGTCTTAAAGGTCTGCCCCAGCCAGGCAGACACATCTACGGTGTGAGCTGAGCTTCCCGGGCCTCGGCCCTATTGCCCAGTGCCCTCTCCCGGGGCCCTTTGGCGAGGCCTCAGAAGTCCACCGCCCTTCCCTGCCGCACCAGGGAGTGCCGAGCTGCCCCAGCTGAAGAGCTGGGCTGGGCTGGGCTGGCCAGGTGGGGGGAGAGCAGCTCACCAGGGCCCCTCCTCTCGCCGTGCAGACCCCTCCTTGCCGAATCTGCAGCAGGATGCGGAGTGAGCCGTCTGAGCCCCACACACCCCAAGGGTCCGGGGAGAGTAAGGTCTAACCCTGGCAAGGGGTCTCTCAGAAGGGGGTGCCCCCCTTCCAGTGGGAGGGGAATGAAGCTTCACTTAGGAGAACTAATGGGCAGCTGGAGAAGGTCCCCAGGATGCTGGCGGGCATCTCATCTCTAAGAACTCGGCTGCAGAGTGGGGCTGAGCTCCTGGAGAGGCAGGTGGAGGTGGGGGGAATGGGCAGGACCCTGGGGAGAGCCAGGCCTGACCCTGGCATGTGAGCTGGGCAGACGGAGTTCCCAGAAGAGACGGCTCCTCGGTGGAGATGTCTGGAGGACAGGGTCCCACTGCCCTGTTGGGGTGACATGCCCAAAGACACCTCTCAGACTCACCACACCCCCTCCAGCCCTGGGGAGGGACAGGGACAGGATGTTCGCTCCGCAGTAGGACGTCAGCACAGCGCGGGAGGCAAGGCGCCCCCGTCCTCCGACCACCCCTCCCTCTGCCCCTTTGTCTTGCAGAACAAGGTGGTGACGGTGGACGGTGTGAGGGTGAAGCTGCAGGTGAGACCAGCGGCTGTGTGGCGCGTGGCAGTGGCAGGGGGAGGGGCCTGCCCTTTCTCTCCACCCCAACCAACAGGAGGTCTGCGGCCCTGCCCTCAACCTGGGCTAACTTCCTGTGGGCGCCCAAGAAGGAAGAACAACTTCTGTTTGCTCGATATCTGCAGAGAAAGCAGTTCCCAGACATCCCCCCTTCGCCAAAGGCAGCCCAAGGGCCGGCGGACAGACTGTCCTGCTCCCGCTCCTCCCCTGTTCCCCGGGTCTCAGCTGCTCTAGGAGGCGGGACTCCCCCAACCCCTGGGCTGGGGAGGTGGTGATGGCGCTGAATAAGCTCAAGAACCCGATAACTGTCACCAGGCTCCACATGGTCAGGTGTTCAGGAGCCCGTGAGAACCCCGGGAAGGAAAGATCCCAGCTTCCCACACATCTGTCAAAACACAACCCGCGTTTCCTCCACCCACCCCCACCCCCGCCCCTGCCTCCTTCTGACCGTGTGTCTGTCCCTCCCCAGATCTGGGACACCGCGGGGCAGGAGCGGTTCCGCAGTGTCACCCACGCATATTATCGAGACGCCCAAGGTCAGTCCCTCGTGCACTCCGGCGCCTTCCCCAGCCCACCTGGGACCCCCACCCTTCCTCCCCGAGCCCCCCATGCGGTCTCTCTCTCCCCTGCAGCCCTGCTCCTGCTGTATGACATCACCAACAAGTCCTCCTTCGACAACATCCGGGTAGGTCCCTCCACCCGCCGCCCGTGGCAGCCTCGGTGGGGCCTCCGCAGCTCCCCAGCTTCCTGCTTGGTGGGGAGGGAGCGGAGCATGGGACACTGCTGACTCCAAAACATACCTGAGCCGTGACTCAGAGGAGTAAACTGCCGCTGGGTAATTGGATGGGCACACGGAGGCCAGGCAGGCTGCTGTGTGCCTCCGACACCTGCTTGGCCCTGAGGGTGATTCATGTGTGCGTTCAGTGACAAAGGTTCAGAAAGTACCCAGCTCCACCCCGGTCAATTACCCGCAGAGACCAAGGGGAGAACCCAAGCAGAAAAGCCCACCCATACATCCAGCCCAAGCTGCCAGAAAGTGACGCAGGCAAGCAGGGGCTCTGTCCTCACAACCAAACCACCGAGGAAAAGAGAGAATGATTCAACAAATACAAATACTGACTCTGTGTGTAGCACTGAAAACGTTTCCCGTGCTCCCTGACCTCAGGGGGTTAACAAGCAAACTGGAGGAACGAGACGTATAGATATAAAACAACTTATAAAGAGGGTGGGGCCCTGGCTGGTGTGGCTTAGTGGATTGAGCACCTGCCTGAGTACCAAAGGGTCACCGGTTCAATTCCCAGTCAGGGCATGTGCCTGGGTTGTGGGCCCGGTCCCCAAGTGGGGGGCATGCAAGGGGCAACCACACATTGATGTTTCTCTCCCTCTCCTTCTCCTTCTCTTCCCCTCTCTGAAAATAAATAAATAAAATCTTTTTTAAAAATTAAAAATATTCCCTGGCTGGCGTAGCTCAGTGGATTGAGCACGGGCTGCAAACCAAAGCATCGCAGGTTCGATTCCCAGTCAGGGCACATGCCTGGGTTGCAGGCCATGGCCCCCAGCAACCGCACATTGATGTTTCTCTCTCTCTCTCTTTCTCCTTCCCTTCCCTCTCTAAAAAGAAATAAATAAAATCTTTTTTAAAAATTATAAATAAATAAAGAGGGTGGAAATCCATGACACCCATACTGCAACCCGCAACTCCATGCTCATGGCAGACATCACTTCAACCAATCAATCAATCAATCAATCAATCGCAGTATTTTATTTTAAGATTCCATTTATTGATTTTTAGAGAGGGGAAGGGAGGGAGAAAGAAAGGGAGAGAAACATCGATGTGTAAGAGATACATCGATTGGTTGTCTCTCACATGAGCCACACCAGGGACCCGGCCCACAGCCCAGGCATGTGCCCTGACTGGGAATCGAACTGGCGACCTTTCAGTTGCAGGCCGGCACTCAACCCACTGAGCCACACCAGCCAGGGCTCAGTCTCAGTAGTTTTGATCCCGGAGCCCTGATGTGGTCTCAGAATCCTCAGAAAGAAACTGCTGGTGACTACCAGCTGGTTGGTGAGACAGAGCCCCTGCCGTCCCTGTAGAAGTAGGAGTTGCGCTGCGTGGGGCTTGGGGCCTCGGGACCGGAGAGGCCAGAACGAGGATGCACGGGAAGGGATGCACAGGGCCTGGTGTTTGGGGGACAGGGAGAAGCCCAGGGTAATCCAACGGGGCAGAGGGAGGAGGGGCAACAGGGAGGGGAGAACGGTGCTCGGCCTAAGCCCACTCCACCGGCCCCTCCCGTAGGCCTGGCTCACTGAGATCCACGAGTACGCCCAGAGGGATGTGGTGATCATGCTGCTAGGCAACAAGGTGAGTGGCCCCATGGCGGGGTCTGCCCACCCCAAACCTCTTCTCCTCTCCCGGACAAGGCGTAACCTCGGCCCAGCCTCACTGCTGCCCGAGAGAGCGTTAGCTGGACACCTTTCCAGCTAACGAATGCTTTCCAGTCTCCAGTTCAGGGGTCACCCGCACCTGGTGGCCTCAGCCCATCTCATCTGCCCTCGGGAAGCCTTGCAAATGGCCCCCTGCAGGGAAAGCTCAAGCTGCTACTCATCAGACCCGGGGTTGCCCAGCTATTTGGTCCCCATTAGAGCGTAGTGACTAACTAGGGTCACAAACGCAGAGCTAAGACCTGAAAGGGTTAGCCCCAACTACTGTCACCTGTCTGAGGCTGGGTCACCACACAGTTGCTGAGGAGAGTTACCCACCTTCCCTAGTGGGAGTGAGGTCCCAGGGCTGGGGGCTGGGGAACTCAGCCTGACCCAGGTAGGAACCCTGGCTCCATGCCAATCATACCACCCGCAGTCCCACCGGCCACCAGCAGAGGGCGGGCAGCGCCTGCTCCTGGGGCGAAAGATGGGCCTGTGGGGGCAGGAGAGGGGCCAGCTGGGGTCAAGGCTTCTTTCCCCAGAGTGACCCACCTGGGCTTGACAGGCAGACGTGAGCAGTGGAAGGGTGATACGTTCGGAGGACGGAGAGATGCTGGCCAGGGTAAGCGACTGTCCATGGGCAGGGTGACGGGTGGGGGCGACCAGCGACTGGCCCTGAGGACAGTCTCCCTCCCTGGCAGGAGTACGGGGTTCCCTTCATGGAGACCAGCGCCAAGACGGGCATGAATGTGGAGTTAGCCTTCCTGGCCATTGCCAAGTGAGAGCGGAGCGGGGGCGGGGGGGGGGCGGGAGAAGTGTGCGGGGCCGGGGGTCACCCTCTGGGGATCCAGCGGGGGGCCTGGCCTCTGGCCCAGCCCCTGAGCTCGCGGAGTCCTGCGTTCTGAGGCCCATGCGCCCCGGGCCGTGGGTGAAGGAGGATGCTCTGCTCCTCGCTCCCTCTGCGGCCCATTCATCGCTTCTTCCTCTTCAAGGGAGCTGAAGCACAGAGCCCGGCAGCAGGCCGGTGAACCCAGCTTCCAGATCCGAGACTACGTCGAGTCCCAGAAGAAGCGGCCCAGCTGTTGCTCCTTCTTGTGACTCCCAAGGGGGCTCAAAGAAGGCTCCAGAGGCCCGCGAGAAGGCAGCCTGCCCCCCAGACCCGGCCGATTCTGAGAGACTGAGCCAATGGGGGAAGAGTTGGGGGACCCAGGGCACAGCCCCTCCCCAATGGGGGGCTATACTCCACCCCTACCCTTGTTCCTGTAGCTTCCCTGTATTCCCAGGGAGGGTAAAATATTTATATTTCACTTTAGTGATACACAATATAACACACGAAAGAACAGCACCAGAAAACCAAGGTGGGGTCCTGGGGGCCCTTTGCCTTCTAGTATATGCGAGGACTCGCGGGCCGGGCCTCCCTCCTACCCGGGCTGAGGGCAATACCGCTCCAGTTCACTACCAGGGAACGTGTACTTCTGGGGCGTGAGGGCAGGCAGTGACTCGGGTCCCACTCTCCCTTCAGCTGGAGAAAGGCTAAGCAGACCCCCCACCCCCCACCCCCTCACCCCACCCCCACTCCCGCCTTCATTTCCTCCAGCTCCCCAGGGAACAACCGGTTCCAATAAAACGGGCCCCAGGGCTAGGATCTAGACCGAAGCTTATCTCTTATCAGGGAAGATAAGAACTGTGGAGGCCGGGCAGGGGCCCAGCTCCTTGGGAGGGGGAGAGAGGAGCAGCAGGGATTGGGTCCGTCTGGCCTTACGAGCCCCGCCCCAGGAGGTATACCCCTTCCCCTCCAGCCCACAAGCACAATGGGGCACCTACAAACATTTGGTTCCTGTTTTCTCAACCTCCCTGGGTTCCTGGGGTCATCTTCCTTTCTGTCTATGCCCCTGGACACCTAGGGTCCCAGTGAGGGGAAGGTGATTTTCTCCTGTCCCAACCCTTCGGCAGGTATGCAGTCCACAGGTTAGTTCTTGAAACAACAGTAGCACTTCTTTCTCCGAGTAAAGTGAGATAAAGAGAAACCCCTAACTCCTGGAGCAGGTGGGGAGCAAACCTCACCCCATGTGTATCCCCCTAAACCCAAGTGCTGCCCCTCCTCTGACCACCCACGTGCTGCCCCTCCTCTGACCTCCTCTGATCACCCTTTCTTCTCAACCAGACCCAGGGGCCCAAAGGGCCTCCCCTCCCCTCCTGCTGGGACAGGTTAGGGAATGAGAGGTCGTCCATTTCTGGTTAACCAGAATACATGTGCAAAACAGGGTCCCGTCGGTTACACTGGGGTAGGGAAAGGGGCAGCAAGGAGTTTTATGCGGGGCCAGGGTCACCTGTCTCCCAAAGCCTTGACCCCAGCAACCGGAAGGGGCCAGGAGACCTGTATGTCGAGACCCACAGTCACCTTCATGCCAGTCTCCAGGACAGGGCAGGGAGGCATGCCCTGAGAGGGAGGTGCGCACTGCACATGTCTGAGGCTACTGCTTTTGCTTTCAAGGCAGAAATCTTGCTGTCTGAGCAGTGTCAGCAGCTCCGACTTGGGCCCCGATAAGGAAGCTCTCAGAGGCCTCTCCCCAGAGGAGCAGGGAGGAGCCTGACCTTGCCCCACGCAGGTCACAGGGGATCCAGGCACACAGGCTGCTCGGGGCCTCTCCCATTTGTGTTTTCAGAATTAAATTGCAGTATTTTGGAAAGCACATCCTGTCCACTGCTTCTTTGAAATGTGGGAGAGGAGGGGGGGTCGCGTTGAAAGGAATGTTAGTGCTCTTTGGAGGAACCGTCGTTAACTGCCAAAATCACTTGATCCCCATCCTTCAATGTCCCCAACTAGTCACCTCACCCCTAACAGACTGCCCAGTCCCTGTGACCAGCCTTTTATCTGTCAGGAGCTGAAAGAAGGCTTATATTACTGTCCTAATCATTTTTTCTTTCCCTATTGAGGAAAGGCAGGACTCCTGTCCCTGTAGACTGTACCCAGAGATCGGTTACCTGGCTCTGTTCTGCCTGTCCCCGACTCCCTGATCAAACGCTGATGCCAATACTCATGCCATTGCCCTAGGTGGCCTGTCTTCAGTGGGCAGCCCTGTGAAGTCCCCCTGCTGCGACCTCACATTGTCCCACTGAGGATTAGAGCACGCACCCCTATAAGGAGGTCCTGGGACAGCACAAAGTGACTCCACAAACAACTCTGTTGGGTCCAAGGTGGACCTCAGTCTTTTTTCCGCAAGACCGCTGGAACCTCGCAGCCCGGGAGAGGCGATCGGTTTCCCCGGCAACGGTCACTCCCCCACCCCGCTCCCCCACCTCCGCACTGAAGCTGCACAGAAGGTTTTGGCCAAAGGCTGTTAAAACTTTAGGGTCCTTTGCCCACGGATTGGCTCGCCTCAATCCCCGTCACAGGTGGGGAAATCAGAACCGAGCCCGAGGGCCCTTCTGGCCAGTCCTGGGAACTCGCCCCGCCCCTCGCCTCAACTCCGGCCGCTTAGTAACAAACACTTCCACTTCCTGAGCCCTCTTTCTTCTGCCGCCCCGGGGCGCGGCGCCCAGCGCAGAGCCCCGCCCCTGCGTGTCCTCATTGGTCCGGGTCGTTCACCCGGGCAGAGCGCCCCCCTGCCTGTGTCCTCTGATTGGCCCGAAGTGGTCCACACCCTCGGCGCGGCCCCGCCTCCTGAAAAGAGGGGTCGGGGCGGGCTCTGGAACGGCCAGACGCCGCGCGGGGCGGGGATTGGCCGGTGAGTTCGTACTTGAGCTCCTCGCAGTTCGCCGCGTCTCCCTCGCGGACCACCTGCTGGTTTCGCCGGCGCTGAGGTTTCTTGCGGCGCGCCCTCCAGCTTCCCGCTCTGCAGGGCTGACAAAAGGGCTGGGTCGTCCCGTCTCCGGCCCGGGACAGCACCCCGCGTCGCGCCGCTAAGGCGTCGCAGGGCGAGATGAGCGCGGACGCGGCGGCCGGGGCGCCCCTGCCCCGGCTCTGCTGCCTGGAGAAGGGTCCGAACGGCTACGGCTTCCACCTGCACGGGGAGAAGGGCAAGGTGGGCCAGTTCATCCGGCTGGTGGAGCCCGGCTCGCCGGCTGAGAAGGCGGGGTTGCTGGCGGGAGACCGGTTGGTGGAGGTGAACGGCGAGAATGTGGAGAAGGAGACCCACCAGCAGGTGGTGAGCCGCATCCGCGCCTCGCTCAATGCCGTACGTCTGCTGGTGGTCGACCCCGACACGGACGAGCGGCTGCAGAAGCTGGGCGTCCAGATCCGAGAGGAGCTGATCCGCCCCCAGGAAGGGCCCGGGCAGGCCGAGCCGCCGGCCACCGCCGAGGAGCAAGGGTCTGGCAGCGAAAATGAGGCTCAGGCCGCCGTACCGGAACCCCGGGAGTCCGAGAAGAGCCATCCCGAGCGCGTAAGTGGGGGCCCAGGCCGGGCGGCGAGTTTGGAGCAGCGGTAGAGGGGCATCGGGGAGAGACCCGGGCGGCCCGCACGCCAAGCCCTCGCCCGCCGTGCCTTTCTGAAACTGGATCCTCGAGGGGGAAACTGCTTCCGCCCGCCTACTGGGCGCACTGGTAGTTGCAGGCTTGGGGCTGCTTCCCACGACCTTCACCCCCTCTCCACACTGGGCTGGGACTCTGAGCTCTCTTTCCACATGCACCTCTTGTCCCTTGTCCTGGGGAAGTGGGAGTGAGGGGTGGCGCCTCAAAAGACCTCAGCCCCATTTCCTCGGCTCTGTTGGTGCTGTGCCTACGCGGGTGTTTTGGGAAACCTAATTCCGCTCATCCCGCGGCTGGCTTCTGGACCACCTCACTCCCAGCCTCTGGCACCCCAGAGGTGCCAGCTTCCTCCACGGCCCCTGTGGGTGGTAACTGAAGTTGGGGTGAGGCCAGGTCGGCCCCGACTTCAAAGAGCTGGAGGAATAACAACCCCCTTTCTGCGCTGGGAGGGGAGGGGTCACAGGCAGGGTTCTGTCCCCACGTCCCCTCCAGCCCTCTGGTGTGTGTATCATTAACTTCAGCCTGCTGGACTTCATCCTCCTCCTGAAGTCCGTTGTGACTTTTAAGAAAAGGAGAGGAAGCCCCACCAACTCGGGGCGATGTGGGGGTGGGGTGCTGGTAGGTGGTGCAGCAGCTCTGCCTCCCAGGAGGATTTATGGTTCTCAGGAATGTGAGGAGTAAGCGCTAGCTTGTGTCTGGGCGCGGGCGGGATCTTGGAGGAGGAGAAAGATGGCTGGGGGGAGGGAGTGGTCGAGTGGCCCTCTGCGGTGCAGGGGCCGAGGGTAAGTGGGCTTCCCCAGGCATCGGCTGCCTCGCTCCAGTCCCAGGACAGCAAGAAGGCCGGTTGCTTTTTACCCGTGTTTGGTGTTTCCCAAAAACAATCCCAGTGTCCCCAGAGAGAGAAAGGGGAGGTCTCAGGGCGCAGGCTGTGGGGAGCAGCTCCTCAGGGCCATATGGCTCACACCAGCCCTCCACCTGGTGGCAGCGTGTGGCACAGGTGTCTGTGGTGTCAGCAGGGGCTTCCCCTGGACAGAGAAAGGCCACGGTTCAGCCTAAAGGTAGAAGGTGGAGCCAGAGGGGCAACTGGTTCAATGGAAGAAAAGGAAGTGAGGTCACTAGGAGCCCTGTCCGGCCGGACTTGGGTGCCGGGCATGCCAGGGCCGCCAGGCTCCCACCTTCTGCCACTTGCCAAGCTGGCACTCACAAGGGTGGGGCAGGGGCCAGAGCACCCCTGCCAGGGGTTAGACACCAGGGAGTGGGAACCCATGACCTCTGGCCCCAGGCAGTTCACTTTGAACTTTGTGCTGAGTGCATTGATTTGCCATTCCTTTCTTCGGACTTTGGCACTAGCACAAGTAACCCGCCACGCCCCCACCCCTCACCACCCTGACACACACGAAATTGCATCATGTTAAGCTCCTCCCATTACCCTTTTGGTTTTGCTGCTGGGTGTGGGAGGGCCTGGGGGGGAGGGGGAGGACCTAGCACATGCCTCCCCCGCTTCCCCCTCCCCCCGTGCAGCCTGGGCTTCCTGCTCTCTAGGTGAGCACAGAACCAGATTCCCCCAGGTGGTGGTGTGACACCTGCATTTCAGTGTCAGGCCAGGGGACAGGGACAGCACCACCCCCGTCCAGCCCGCCAGTCCTGGGACCGTCACCAGGCCTCTTGGGGTTTCGGGTCAACAAGCAAATCCCAGAACTTCTCTGAGCCTTGATCTTTCTATCTGTGAAATGGGAGGCCTTGGGCTACAGGGACACCTGCCCTCCGGAACTTCACAAAGAATGGGCAGTCCTGGCGCCCGCATGCGACGCTGACTTGAAGCCAGCTCTGTGCGGCCGCTGCCGCCGGCCTCGCGCACAGCCCGTCTGCGCTGCTAAACCCCTCCAGGAGGAAATTCCCCGTGAAGCCGGGTAGGGTGGGCTTGAAGGCGACCCACTCTGTCATTGCAAAAAAAAAATGTTACTAAACATCCGTAAATTATTTTCCTAAAAGGCCTCTCAGTGCGGGGCTTAGTTAGGCTCTTCATCAGTTCTCACCAGTGGAAAAGGTGTCACTCGGAATAGCGCCATGGAAAGAGTGGGTGGCAGGTGACATCTCACCGGTGAGACCAGCCTGGGTCAGGATGACGCAGGGCAGAGGGTGGGGGGTACCTGTAGTTCTGGTGTAGGAGGAGGGGGAGGCGTACATCCAGCTCTGCCCACCTTTGGTGACGGCTTCCCCACCTGTGCCCATGGGGGCGGGGGGGGGGGCAGCGGCACCCCTGCTCACAACCTTGCGATCACAGGGGGGACCTAAACCCTTGAGCCTGGCGCCTGGCACCCAGCACCGTGGCGGCTGGGCAGGCCTGAGCCAGCTCAGCTGGACTCGCTGGGCTGCTGGGCTGCTGGGCTGCGTCCTACCCTCCCTAAGCCTCCGCTTCCTCTTGTGTAAGTTGGGGGCGATGGCGCTGCCTTGCAGGCCTGGCGGGATTACTCGAGGGTGTCTGTTACGCTCAGTGCCTGGCACCAAGCGCTCAGAAAACACCGGTGGCTGGTATTTGAACTAATAAATATGTCACAGCGATGGTTGCCCCATCCGTGGGGCAACCAGCCCTGGACCTGCCTCCCTCGTCAGACAAGTGCAGCTGTGGCCACACCTGGCGCTCAGCGTGTGCTCCGTCGGGGGTTGCCCGTGCGGGACAATCCCGTGGTCCACAGCCCTTCGCTGTCCGGCAGCCTTCCCCTCCCCCCTCCCCCCTCCCCCCTCGTGTCCACCCCACCACACTCGTGCTCACCACGTTGGCTCGGCTCAGCCTCTGCAGCTTCACACCTGCTCTCCTCCGGCCCCTCCTCCACTGGGCGGCTCCAGAAGGCCCCTCACCTTCTCCCGCTCCTGAACCTACATCTTTTATTGCTCTGAACTCACAGGCCCTGAATCCTCTGTTTATGATCTCCATCACCGCGTGGTGAGCTCCCCAGGGCGACACGTGTGGCTTCTTTGTGTTTATGTCCCCAGTGCTGTGCCTGGCGCCTGCTAAGGAGGGGCCCGATCAGCATTTCTGAATTAGTGAATGAATGCAATAACAACCCCAGGGACCTTTGTCCTCACATCATCTCAGTCCGGCGTGATGGGGCCTGTTTATGCTTCGGGCACACCCAGAGATCAGAGTTCCAGAGAGAACCTACCCATTCCTTTCTCTTGCCTACCAGCCGCTTCCACTTGAAAACTAGAAAGCTGGAAGCCTGGCCTTTGGGGTCGTCTCTGCCAGCCCACTGGCTCTGGCCCGCCCCCCCCGCAAGCCTCAGCCTCCACCTCTCTGAAGTGGGACCCCAGCACCTGTCCTGCAGGGTTGCTGTGGGGGGGTGCGGGGGTGAGTGCCCAGTTTGGGGTGGTTTCCTGCCAGACCTGACCCTGATTCCGGAGGCAAAGATGGCGCAGGCAGCCCAAGTGACAAGGTGGGTGGATGGGGCCAATTAGCTGGCAGCCCAGCAAGCTCGTCCCCATTTCTGGAGGACAGAACAGGGTTTGAACTGCCGGATGCTGGATTGGAAATGGACAAGGTGTGTGTTCTTCTGTGGCCGGTTCCTCCCCTTAAGCCACGTTGCTGGGGTCTCTGTCCCCCCGGTCTAGCTCCTGCCTCTTACCTTCAGGGGTGTGTCTGGGCGCCACGCTTGCTCCGACGCCAGCGTCTGCCTGCACGTCATCCCTCTGGCCGCCCACCTGGGTTGTGCCCCGGGGCCTGACTCTCCAGCTGGGGGTCTCCACCTATCCAAGTGGCATAAACTCAAAGCTGCTTGAACCACCTCCCTGCAAGGGTCCAGGTCACTGAGCCCTTTCGGCCAGGACAGCAGTGACCTTCATGCACATGGAAACCGCCTCAGCCCTGAAGGAGGCGGACTCCTCAACCCATCCCTGCACGTGGGCTGGGCTGGGCTGGGCTGGGTGGGGAGTCTGGTGACTCAGTCTCTACCTTCACCCCCAGATTCTAAGAGTCCACCCTTGCTATCTCCCAGCTGCCTTGTAGCCCAAAGGGCTTCAAGGTTGGCCTTGACCGTTGGCCTTGGCCTTCCTTTCCCCAGTCCTTGGGGTAAGACAAACTCATCGTGTCCCCAGACCCCTAGACACTGTTTAGGTTCCCGCCCTAGAAAAGGGCAAGTGGCACAGTTCCCCGAGGTGCGGGTCCAGAGTGCTGCTCTACGCTGTGCGATTGTGCGGCTGTCTCCCTGTGCCCTGTTAGAAGGTCATGGTGGGGATTTGGGAGAGTGTTTGGGGCTGACGGCCAAATGGGCGAGGGCGAGCCCTCCAGGACCTAAGCAGACGGTTGCCACTGCCCCTGGCGACATGGGGCCCTTAGTCCTTGGAACGTGGGAGTCCAATCCGGGAGGTGTGTGTGCCGTGCGAGCACACAGTGCGCCGGAGCTGGGGGGCCCAGAGCAAAGGGAGAGGGGGATAATGAATGACCTTTTACGTGGATTCACGTCGGAAGGATAATATTTTGGACGTAGTGTGTTGAATAAGATATCATAATTAGTTTCTCTTGGTTCTTTTTACTTTTTAACATGGCTGCTAGAAAATGTTTAATTACCTGTGCTAAAACACAAAAGTCAACCAAGCAACTTTGGAGATCAAATTGGCCTGATTAAGCAGTCCACAGGGTGGCGAGCACACAGTACAAGAGAGAGATGATGTGTTACTGAATCGTACCCGTGAAACCTAAATAATCTTATTAATCAATGTCACGCCAATAGATTCCGGTCTTTAAAAGGGGGTTGGTGAATCGGGCAGCGTCCAGTCTAGCAACGAGAAGGGAGCTCTGAGGGGTTGTGGGAAGTGGGAGGGTTCTGTAGGAAGAAGGTCGGGGCAAGGGAACTCTTGACCAAAGAGAAGATTATCTGGGGGGGCTGACATCTTCCTTTGGGAAGGGGTTTTATCACGC